TGCATATTGGGTGATGCATTTACATGATGCTCTTGCATATTACTAATATATACATGCTACAAATGTGTCAATACAATTTTTTATGCATGGGGGGATACTTTTACAACGATCAACTATGCAAATGACCCCTGTTAATAAATAGATTCATCAGCAAATAGATTCATTAGCCGTCGTCTCGCATAGGGAATGGTCGTATTCTTCTACAAGTGAATTAACATTGACTGTAGGGATGTCGCAACATTCATTGCATGTTATATGTTATCATTCATGAACAGGCTACTGGGTGTTCATCTGCACGTCGACCGGTATTGATGACAAAGAGGCCATCCCCTTTACAACCTTCTCATTTTACTTGTAGACATGCTACATCCTTTGCATGCCGCTCATCATTGCTTGTAGGATTTAATATGTTCATATGTTGATATCGAATGCAGGGTGTTGTTAACATTCATTTTAGGTTACCAATACTTGCGCCATTTATTACGGTTATATCTATTTATTTATAAGCATGATTTGAGATGAACATTCCGAGTCAACAATCATTATTCAAAAGTTCCATACTATGACTAGTAATCATGTCATCGCTTGTAAGCAAGTTTTGTTTGCAAGTTCTTTGTCCGTCATAAGCTCCCTGATCATTCATTTATGTTTAATTATTTGTCAATTTGTGAAATGTAGATTCATTTTATGCATTTATTCAAGTTTGGTTCTCTGTTGTCCATTTTAGTTATGTTCCCTGTGATCGTTTTGTCCAATTCAAGTTCAGGTCCTCTACATTTTCTTTGGATTTCGGTAGCCTCCCGGCATCTCTTCCGTTTAAGGAAAATTTCAGGAGCTAGTCCTTCCGTACCACGCTACGAGAGCATATAGGGTTGGTGTTGGGTAACACCATGACAGTGGTTTTTTAATCCCACCATGCTACGATAGTGTGTAGGGGTTTTCGAGGTATCTATCTAAAAATATAGTTTTTTTCTTTCCCGCGGGAATGACGGCACATACATGGGTACTTATAATTGTCCTTGCCACATACAAGAGTGCGTAAAGGCCTACCTGCCTCGCGGCATGCGTCATACCAGATTCCCTCCCACCACGCTACGAGCGCCGAAAGCGATATTTGATGTCTTAAGGTTTTGGAGACATTATACCTTGTTCGGGATGATGACAGTGGTGTTGTTAAAGTTACTATGATCTCAAGAAAAATGTGCATGTGAAACGTGGCACAATTTTTTTCTTTTTTTTTTCTTTTTTCTTCTCTTTTTTCTCTTTTATTATGATACTAATAATATTATTATTACTAAAAAAATAAATCAGTGATAATAACAAAATTATTGAGAGAGAGAGAGGGGGGGGAAAGGATTAGTGTTATGTTGCTTTTGCTGGACATTAGATATGGGTTGGAGGTTTATTCAGTGCTTGAGCCTATGAGTGGAAGGAAGGAATAGAGGAGGAGAGTTGCTGCTTTGTTCACTAACTAGTGGAGAGTTGAGGTTTGAGTAGATGAGTTCAACCTGTAGTGGGGAGGAGTTGTGACGGCGGGTTGACGAGGCGTGAGGTTTGAGGTGAAATCGAATAGCCTGGTCAGGTGTAGCAGATCGACACCGTGAAGGGGCGGGATGAGAGCTGGATGCAGGTCGAACTGGCTGATTCCCAACTCTAGATCGGAAGAGGAGAGATCGGCTTGGGCTTATTTGCGGTAGGTAGGATGAATGGATGAGGAGGTTGGATAGTTCGGCTAGTTGGAAAGCGAGAAAGGTCTGATCTCTGGTTTGGCATCGGGACCGGGGCAATAGAAGCTGAGTAAATTAGAACTGGATCGGTTAATGGTTTCAAGCAAAAGAGGGGTTGTGAAGTCCGTTGTTGCATTCTCTCCTCCCCAGAGGAGAGGACGTCAGGTGCCCGGGCTATCCACCGAGCAGCTGGACATCCATCCGCGAGTTGTGCGTACGTACATAATAGGGAGGTCGGATGGGATTTGTTTGGTATTAACGAGATTTGATTTCATCAGAGGAGGAAGGTCAAGTAGGTTGAAATTGATGTCTCGTTTGCTGGGTGGAATCGAACATCAGCCAAAGATCTTCACACAAGGGCTGGCGTCGGATGCAAATAGGACCAAGATTTGGATAGCAGTCGACGGGAGCTATTTGATTTATGAGAAATTCAGCAGTGGCTATAGGCAGGTTCGCAAGCTTGAGGTAGTTCGGTGGAAAGGATCAGTATCGAGTGAGGAAGACGAAGCTACGAAAGTGGGTTTGATCGTGAGTGGAAGAAGATCGGCATGAAGAGCTGCAATTTGCAAGCAAGACAACAGAACGACTGGTTTCATTTCTTTCTCGTTTTAACGACGAGGCACATCCTCGGTTTAGACGAGAGCAACGATGGAGACACAAGATTAATGGGAAGCGATACAAACGATGTTGAGCAGTCGGGATTTGAGCAGGAATTCGGGGATTTAAGCATAGTCTACAGTCAATTTTAGGTATTATTGACGTTCCGAACGCAATGATGAAGTTTGTTTTGTGATCGAATATCATTTGGGCAACATCGCGCGTCAAGTTCGGGTGTCGGTCGCCTATTTTGACCAATTTTGTATGAATTGATTGCGAGGGCTCCCTTTTGGGCTTATTTGACGTTCTGATCGCAATGGCGCATCCAATTCTCTTTAGTGACGCATCATGTATGTCATCCATCACTTAAGTCATCGATTTTCACTCTTTTCGTGTGTTTTGAGTGTGTGGGTCAACATTTGTAAGAAAGTAAAAGTTGATTAGGAAGATATTTGCACTTGTATGCTTAATCGAATCTGCTATGTGGTTGGAAGTGTTATCGAGAGAGGTTGATATTATTTAGAGTTAACCTGCAAAGGGGTTCAAGTAAATTAGGAGCTTGTTGACTTGAAAATATTAAAAAAAAAAAAAAATAAGAAATCCCTCTACCACATGACAACCCTCTCTCTTATCCATTCCTTCACATGATCTCCCCTTGCCTCCTATACTTGTACCATGTCATCGCTATCACCACTCAAAATGACATGCAAAACCTCCTCTCCCGTGTCACGCCCCATATTGATCGTCTCCTTATCAATCGGCTCGGGTTGCAATAGAGAAAATAAAAAATTGTTATAATATTCAAATTTCGCTCAAGATTCAGTTCTATATAAAAAAAAGAAATATCACAACATCTAATAAAATGGAAGTATGCCAAACTTTCCTTGAAATTTTCTTTGCAGAGCAACTATCACTGCCAAAAACATTCATAATGTAAACATCTTGCTAATTTCAATATAACAATTCTCTTACACTAGACAGTAGAATATTTTTAAAAAAAATGAACTTGTGTATAGTCAGCTTCAACCTTATCATTTCTCTTTCCTAAAAAACTAATAGAATAAAACTCGGATGAGCTTTTAGGCTGAAAAAGATATGCAGCTCTTATATGGGATTCAAGAATACAAAATATGTAACCAATATATAGGTGTTATAATTCTATTTATCATGCTGCTTAATAATACATCATTAATAGGTATAAACTACATAAAGAAATTGTGTATAAAGATCATGTAGCATTAATTTCCTCAACTGAATTAAACATAGAATGTCAATCATGAGAATACATGAAAAGTAATCAGGTGTGTTAACATTTAATCTTGAAATTAACTACATTAATATTTCATTTACTTATTCATCTTTCCTTTTAAATTTCTTGTTCTTTTTAACTAGTCCAGGTCGTCTCGACCCCATAAGCTCTATTATCTAAGATCATATTGCCCCCATAGCCCATATGCTTCGTCATACCGACGTCTTATTGCATATTTAGGTTGTACTGCCCCACCTGCCTATCCCCTCACACGATATTTTCTTAGATTTATTGAATTCTGATGACTGCATTTTCTTTATCAGTTACACATATCATACACCAATTTAAAATAAGTGGGTATACAAAGCATGTATAAAAGAAAGCCTGTACAAGTAACATACCTTTCATTTAATAGTGTAACTAATAGTTTTTGCTTATCTTCTAAACTAAAAATTGGGGCTAACCAAATAATAATGAAAGTAGAGGGACTTGAAAAAATGAGAATTACAATGACTCTCTCTCTCTCTCTCTCTCTCTCTCTCTCTCTCTCTCTCTCTCTCAAACATGAATACTTATAGCCCGGACCAGCCCATACAATTAGAATTTCATTAGCGTGTGCGTGTGGGGTTGCATATGCCCCTTTAGTTGGTCGAGCCTCAGCGTGCTTGTCGTTAGGTAGGATTCCGTGGAAGCAGTTGTGAAGGGGATGGGACAATGGTAGTTTAGAAAGTTGGGTCCCTTTTAAGATGATTACATGAGTAAATTTGATCATTTATTGATACTTTGTAGTTTGGATTAATGGATTGTTTTGGGCAATTATATTTTTTTATTGGTAATTATAAAGTTATGAGAAAAGTATTTTCTCAAGCAATGAAAATTGTAAATAATTTTATTTTTTAAAATAGTTGGACAATAATGTTTTTGTAACTAGCACACTTTAGCATATCTTGTTATTACAAGCAACTTCACATGCATAAATTTTTGAAAGTAACAGCTGGCGGGATTATGATAGTTGTACAAAAAATAAAATTTTGAAAAAACTGTTCCAAATAGGCCCTAATTTAAGTTGGAAGATAACAATTTATCAATCTAAACCTTTATCTCGTGATGGACAGTTGGATTAGCGCTGTTAGATTTCTTCTCACTTAATACATATCCCATTCTCCATATATATTTCAAAATAATAATTGTAATAATAAGTTCATATTAATAAATAAAATTTAATAGGTGGAATAATGAATTTTATATGTATGAAATTTTTATTTTATCAAATTTATCAATATAATTTACTTGGCTAACTATTCCCTTTCATCATTGTTTTCATATAATAGCTTTTTCATCTGCTACCACGTTTCTCCTTGTTCGTTGCAAGTATCCCCATAGTTTTATATTAACTAAAACTTTTTCTCCCTAAATTTATTTTGCAGGCCTCATATGCGAATGCGTTGCCGGTCCTTGATATGTGCAAGCAGTGGTTGGGTCAGTACATGTAAATTTTGTAGGTCCAATTGTTGAATTCAGTGACGAAATTAGGAAGAGGTTGAGAGTGATTTTTCCCCTCCTACATTTAATAAAAAAATCCATGTAATTATATAAGTTTTGCTTCTTAGATAAACTTTTTGGCTCTTTAGTTTCAGGTCCTAATTCCAATTATTGATTGAGATCTAGAACTAAAAAGGGGCAGGGTAACATATAACAGTGAAATTGTTCATGAACGGAAACATCTGAAAAAAAAATGTTATGGATGAAAACGTGTATATATATCATCCTATGATCTTTCTTTATTTTGATGCATCTTTTGAGTAATATTTGTTGCCACAAAATCCCATCAAGCCTTTATAGTGTCAGCCAGGGCAAATGAGGATGGTATTAGGTTTGGTGGTCTGTCATCTTTTGTAAGGCTACGGGCTAATTATCGCTAGGCTTTTTATTCATAGTTAAACAAATTTTGATATAGCTTAAAACTCTTCTATGAGCTTTAGAAGCGAGTTATATTCTTCGTAACAACTATTGGTTTAGGTCATTAACTCATTCAATATGACCATGAAGTACATTCATGGATTACTATTTTCTCGATCAACTAATACAAATTTTATAGGATACGTCTGATTATTAACATATTGAGATACTATAAGTTTGGTACTACCATGTTTTGTATTAAAAACATTTCATTCACACTTAACATTGGATAACATGTGCTTTTAAAACCTTGTATATAAACACCTAAAGTGAAATAAATATAATTAAAATATTCTAAAGTATCAAGCTAAAGGCCAACAAATATCTCTATATTCTTCCTATTTAGCAAGAACAAACATAATTGTTATTTTCGAAAGAATGCTTATAGAGATCCTTTTCATTAGATGAATGACTTAACCCCCCTTTACATCTAATATTATTATATTCATGTTCAAATTAGGGTTAGATCTAATGTGCTTTTTTTTTAATTTTATCCAATAAGCTAATGTTGAATTTGCTGATGCTCTTTTAATCTAACATCTAAAATGTAAATGTATTCTCATTCACTGCTTCTAAACCCAAATAAAAAAGAAGGGAAAAAAAAAAAGAGGAAAAAAAAAGAAGAATAAAATATATGTTTTGTGCATTTTTCATTGTCACAATCATTACCCTTGATGTTGCCACTGCCATCCCCATCACAAAGGTAAAATGTCCCCAAACACAAAAATCTCCAAAATCTCGCTTTTAGCTATTACGAAGCGTCGGGGGACTACCTATGCACGTTCATCGCTATGCACGTTCATCGCAGCATAGTAGGTGGGAGCTCGGTGTGGCGCTTATAGGGAGGCGGGTAGTCATGTACATGCTCTTCGTAGCGTGGCGATGACAATCTTAAGTACCCATGTATGTGTCGTCATGCATGTAGGAAAAATAATGTTTTTAAATAGGTATCTTTAAGACACATACACACTCTTTGTAGCATGGTAGGATTAAAGAACCACGTCCGTGATGTCGCCTGACACATACCATATATACTCTTTGTACAATGATGGGAAGGCCTAGCTCCCTAAATTTCTCTTAAATGAGGAAGATGTTGGGATATTGTCGAAATTCAGAGCAAACAAGAGGACCTGGACTTAAACAATGAACATAGAACAAAACTTAAACTAATAAGTAAGAAACATAACTTTAAATTGACAAAATGCACGAGCAAGGTGAAAATACAAATGATGAATGATAATCCTTTTTATTTAGCTGAATACCAATGAATAAACAAAAGGAAATTGATGAACAAACTCTCAAATGCAAACAAACAAGGAAAAATAAAATTAAATCACTTAGAAGTATTCAATCAAAACAAATTGCGAGTGAGAGCAAGTGACATTTGCACCAATCATACAAGTAAACACATCAACCTTCGGCAAGTAAAAGAAGTTGATGAACACAGCAACCTACTCACAAACAAAGATCAAATAAAAAATATAACAATGTGCTTACAATCAATGGCATGAAGTTTTCAATAAATGGTGCAAGTCATCATGCCAATTGGAACGCAAATATTAATAAGCAATGTTGATAGTTCATTTTTCATGCTACAGAGCACCTTCAAGAATAACAAAGAACGTGCAATATACATGATAGAGTATAACAACAATTAGCATGCGACAAATTCCATGATATCCTTACAATCAATGTTAATTCACTTGTAGGAAAATATGCCAATTCTCTAAGGACAACGACAGCTGATACATCCTGCTTACAAGCAGCTACAAGGAACATGTGAGTGTATGTGATCGACATCATACAAACTATGAACATAACAAGTTTCTTGTAAATACAATTAAGAGAACTATAATGTGTGTGACTCACTGCCTATAAGCGGAGGACAACATACTTGTGATACACGAGCTTCTATGAACTGTTATAGGAGACTCTTTATATATAAGCAAATACAAAAGAATTACAGCAAATACAAACACTTACAAGTCACTTCAGCATTAGAAGATTTGCATGCAAATCAGTTTACCCACAGGTAATGGTATAAGGCTTGTAATACATACATCAATCCTATCTACAAGCAATAATAGTGTTGTACTGCAAGCATGATGGATTCTCTACAGGTAAAAATGAGGAGATTGCAACGAGTGTGACATATTGCTTGCAGACAAAAGCAACAAACCCATGATAAATACATGCATATATTAACCATTGTAGGAGATTCATTAGTGCATGCTAGTCTACCTCCATAAACTAGCAAATGACCCGTAGCGTAATATTACGATTTACCTATAACAAAAAATAGGGGGTCAATAGTAAATATTGTGAGTTACTAATGAATTGAGGCAGCAAATTTACGTGTCAGGCTATCATATTAAAGAAATCATCTTACTTGTAGGCAACATGTGAAAGGCTCTTGATGTGTGGTATGGCTCATTTGCAAACATAAGTATATTCCTACAAGCTCAATACTGAAGAAAATGACAACATACAAAAGAAAAAACGAGGAAAACCACATTGTCAATGCGTGGTAGATGAAATTCAACGTGTTGCTAAATAAGGTCATCATATCCGCAACGTTCATACAAACGAACAAAAAGCATTTGCAAATTCCTAAATGAAACCCCGCACACTTCTTAGTGCATGGATGATTATTACAAAAACAACCTTTCAGGTATTAAGATGTGCATTAACACATTCATAGCATGCATATATTTGCAATATCTAGGATTCATCATGTAAATATGTCACCGAATTCACAACACTTGTATAAGCAGATAGAAGACTTCTGCAAACTTCTAGATAGAACATTGTCCACACTCAAATGATATTCATTCCTTCAGCTGATTATTGGTAAACACTTTAAAATTCCCTCCCATGCATTGTAGTAGGTAGAATACATCATTCAAGCATGATATCCATCATTGCGAGATGCATTATATTGTAGTAGTGCATCGCATTAACATACATATACACTGAATACACATGTATTAAAATATGCAAGGACGCCACACCATGACAATGCAACTCATTATTAGGTAAAATGCATCATGCATGCATATGCTCCTGCATACAAAATGTACTATACAAGTGTACGACACAAGCATGTCATAACTATATGTAGTTAGGAACGAGTAGATATGTTACAAGCATCCTCACCTTTTATATAAATATACCATATACATATACATTACTCTATGTAAGATATACATTGCAATATGCAACATGCATTATGCAAACACATCATATAAAATATAAATACCTATACTACCATACAAACATATATGCAACTGTAGCATAAATATTTTTTTACAAAATACATGCAAAGGCATATACCCTCTTGGGCCTCGATAAGCATGTAGTATGCACATTCATGATGATGTTTATGGATGTTGCATGGGTAAATAATGAACTTAAGTTTGAGTCTGATCCTTCTATATGAATAGATAGGTGTTGACACGACTCAAATCATCAAATAAATGCCCGATTGTGGCGTCGACCAGGATATTTATTTTAATTATTTATATTATGCCTTCAATGCCTATTAAAAGAAAAATTCATTAATAAAGGACAACGAACCTAATTCTTTGATGATAAGTAGACAGAGTCGACATGGTTCAACTAAGAAATTGAAATTACCCATAAATATCCTGATGATGGTTGTGTTGATAAAAAATCTCAATTGGAGGGGACCCTAAACATTTAAAATGCCCCCAAATTACCATGAAATATATTAAATAATATAAATATTTAAAATTAAAATAAATATCAAGTACTTATAGCAAAATATCCATCCACCCTCCAGAATAGTTTGATGAGATGGACAAGTTTGAAAAGAACTTCAGCACACAAAGAGCAAATATCTAGTCGAGAATATTAGTATAATTCATTCTCAATCTGTCTTTTACCAATAAGGGTGTGGTACATATCCTCTAACAAGTGATTTCACTACCAAATGGCACCACAGATAAATGGTTATGACATGGTCCTTTGATTGGATGGTTTTGCTCATTAAATGACAACCATGGTTAGAGCCCGTATATTCCCCAATAGCTTCCAATCCTTAAGTAATAAGTCAATAGGATATGACTGATATTACACAAAGCCCTTTCTTAGTGAAGGTGGCATCAAATTTGTCCCATTAAGTAAATATTCATCCAATATCCACAAGGTACCCTTGGGCAAAGTAACTGATGGCTGCCGACAAGGATCTTTATATCAGGTTGGGTTGACTACCTCCTTTTACTAAGTAGACTAGGGGCAATGATCGCCTAGGGCAATGGAATCATAGGATCTTGATCGAGTCTATCATCATTCACTCCACCATCCCCTTTAAGTACAAGGTGGAAAATTTTTAATTTTAAATATTAAAGTTTCAAATACCAAAATCATGCTGCTACTATATGCTAGATACTATGTATATGTTTAATGACTAGGCTTAATCAAAAGTTCTCTCTCATTATCGAGAGGGATAATTAATTATAGGGGCTTGCGTCTATAGGAAACATAAACTCATATAGGGAGAAAGTAGAGAGAGAAAGTCTAGGATTTCAGTGAGATTTTTTCAAATTTTCATCTTCTTTGTAGTTTGGCGGGTTTTCCATGTATGTAATTGGATTTTGTCTGAAAAGCGATTGGATTGGAGAATCTAATGTTTCTTAACAATAATCAGCATCTTCATAAGGAGGTACAAGATGGATTTTGTTCGTTGGTGATCAGGGAACCGTCGGATATCCCAATTAAAGAAGCAGAGCAAATAATTGGAAAAGGTAAGCAGGTGATCAGTATTGTTGAAGCTAAAACTCCTCATTCTATTGGAATCCCAGGA